TCTATGTAAAAATTATTTTTAATAGATAGAGTAATTATTATATATATATATATATATATATATATATATATATATATATATATATATATATATACATATATCTATATATAAATATATGCTTTTCTAATCAGTTTTTTTAAAACATTATATGTTCTTATGCCCTAAATACATTTATGTTGTATTGATACATTTTTAAATGAATATATTATTTTAAAATATGTACATATATTATTATTTATAATCGACACGTGAAGGCTAAATTATATATTTTTCGTTTAAATTAATTTGTTTGTTTACACCACATTTAGTTTTTGTAGTATAGTCTGTGTGAACGGGATCAAAACATGAAAATGGATTGCGCGGTATCTGGTTCAGTATGGGTTTGATGACTCATTAGAATTGGTGTCTTACTATGACTAATTCTGGCTCTAATCATTTGTTATATTATTTTTAAAATGTTTCGTAAAGTAAAGTTGATGCAATAAATTGCAACTCTGTATATATGAATAAATAAACTTATAATTACAGTGAAATTATCACATCTGTTTTAATGTATAGAATAAACACTGACTGGTTTTTTAGAAATTCAAAAAAGTAAAGACCTGATACAAAGATCACAACAAGGAGCATGCACTGGGAAGAAAAGGAAATAACTTTATTGGAAATGATAATTATTACCTAGTTTCATGATTTTTAAATTTTTTTTTAGACATTTTTTTTGAAGTTTTGGTTTAGATTATAATTTGCCTGGTCGGCATGTACGTTTTTTTTTTACTACACTTCGTTACGTGTCTTTTTTTCCCTTGTAAGATTAGGAAACTTTTTGTCTCATTTGAAATTGTTGGTCTTTATGATTGTTTTGTGATTTTAGACATTTTTTTTTGTTTTGAGATTATCAGCAATCTCACTTTTTTATTTTGTAATTTGGTCGTCCTTAGTTGTTAGAGACAAGTAGAGGTAGCTGCTTTTTTTCTGTATTACTGTAAAAACTTTTTATTGTGATGAAATAATATGTTTGAAATTAAGATGTCAGTTTCTATTTTAATAACACTCTTCATTTATCCTATATCAGGCTACCCATTTATGATCACTGTTAAAACTGGAGATAAAGCCGATGCCGGGACGGATGCCCGTGTCTACATTATCATGTATGGACTCAAGGGACTGGAGACAAGTGGCAAGATCTGGCTGGACAATGGAGCGTTGAAACGAAATAAGATAGACATCTTCAATGTGGTCGTGGACAAGATGATCAGTCCATTGTCTAAAATTGAGATAGGCCATGATAACACTGGCGCTGGCCCTGGCTGGTTCTTAGATTCTGTCACAGTAAGTTTTTAGACTCTGTCACAGTAGATTATTATATTTTGACATAGCAAGACTTAAGACTCCATCACAGTAGCACTAGAGACTATGTCTAAGTAGCACTTGAGACTCTGTCTCAGTAGCACTTTAGACTCTGTCAAAGTAGGTTTGTAGACTCTGTCACAGAGGGTCTCAGGATTTGGCACGAAAGGTTTTTATATGCTGGTATAAAATACTTATTTTAGATATATGCAGGTATAAAATAATAATAATAATCGGCATCCTTCCATCAAGTGAGACGATGGTGCATCACCGTTTGGTTGGGTTGCATTTTCTCGAGTTGCTGTGAAGTCCTATCCTTGAGTGACAGTCTTTACCACAGTTTTTACACACGAGTTCCGTGCTTCTAAAAGTTTTGGCCTTTCTCCTAGCTCTTCTGTCTGCAGCCTCTTCCATTCTTCGCTCCTCGGCTACCATGACGCCCTCTTTGACAACTGTGCGCCACGTAGATCGGTCTTTTGCCTTACACTCCCAGTCACTTGTATGTATTTTGGCTGCTTTCATGTCCCTTTGACAGACATCTTTAAATCGCAGACATGAGCGACCTGTTTTCCTCTTTCTAGAAGCAAGTTCACCATGTAGGAGGTCTTTCGGAATGCGGCCGGGACTCATTCTTTTAACATTACCTAGCCATCTTAGGTGTCTTTCACTAAGGATTGTGAACATGCTTTGGGTATTCGCACGAATTAGGAACTCACTATTAGTCACCTTTTCTTGCCTTTTAATACCAAGGATGCGACGCAGGCATCTCATATGGAAGCTATTAAGCTTGCGCTCTTGGGATGTAAGGTGGTCCATGTCTCGCTCCCGTATAGTAGTGTACTGATGACACAAGCTCGATAGACGCACAGTTTGGTTTTCTTCGTTAGCTTGGTGTTCTGCCAGACCCGTTTATTTAGTTTGCCATTGTGGCAGCTGCCTTGCCGATTCTGCTGTTAATATCTTCTTCAATGGACAGTGTATTGGAGACCTTGGACCCCAAGTAGATGAAGCTGTCCACAACCTCCAAGTTTTCATTATCGATTTTTATGTTAGGTGGAGGTCGAGTGTCTTGGGCCATGATGTTTGTCTTTTTCAAGCTGATTTGCAGATAAATTCTTTGCAGGCATTGTAGAAGCTTGACACGAGTTGTTGCAACCCAATTTCTGTGTGTGCTTTTAGTGCCGCATCATCCGCAAATAGTAGCTCGCGAATTAGGACATTTGTCGTTTTGGTCTTGGCTCGGAGGCGGGCAGTGTTGAAAAGTCCTCCATCAGCTCTGGTGTGTAACCAGATTCCCTCACTGCTATCCTTGAATGCGTATCGAAGTAGTACAGAGAAGAATATTGCGAACAGTGTTGGTGCGAGTACACAACC